TGGTGATGCTTCGGCTTTGGCAAATTAACCATGTGCAGTTTTGCGACCTCCTAATAAAATTATTTATTTGTCTGTTAAAATACATATCACACGGCTGACAGAGCGGGGTAAATTTTAGGAGAATAATGCACAATGTGCAAGTCGAAATTTGATTTTCGTCGGTAAAAATTTTGTCGTATTTATGTTTCACAGCATATGTTGTACAAACTTATGTTTAAACTGTTTTTGTGATAAATTTCATCCAATTATATGTTCAAGAACATAATAAATCTGTATTGTTTTATACTTTAAACACAGGTACATATTTTTACTTTCACCATAAAACTGTTTTATTAATAATAAGTCAATAAATACTTTACTAAAATTGCATAAAATAATCCATATCTCCATAATTGTAATATTGAATGCAATTTTTCTTCTGAACAAAAAATGTCCGCAACGGAATTTAAACCTGGGATTAAAAATTTAAAGTCTTCTACATCTGCCATGCCGCTACGCCACAGCGGCTGTTGAATGTAGCGTTCCACTACTGCAATACAGTATATTCTCCACAAGTGTCAGTCCGCAAGGAAGCTAAACCTGACACTTGAAGAGTCAGGGAGTACGTTTTCGAGCCTCGCGCTCGCCTTTGTAGTTTGCCGAACGTAGACAAGGACAGTGAATAAAAGATAAGGATAAAACGTGAGTCGAAGCAACCAAGCGATTTAAATACCAACTTTTTTAATTTTACGTTTTTTTATCCCGAAATTTTTCTTAACATATTGATGAGATTTTTCTGATGAAAATGACATCAAACACGACATAATTTGAACAACATGTCACGCCAGACAGTGAACGTGTTAATAAGTAAATGTTGTTCAAATTATTGTAGCGTTACACGCTTGACTGACAGCGAGCGAGATAACATAGGCGCAGCAATGACGCAGCCTAGGCGTAGGACCATCTATACTGACACTTGTAGAATCCAAACTGACTGACACTTGTAGAGAATTTACTGTATATCGGACTATGCAATTTTTCCAAACTTGTCGCATGCTTTTCTCAAAATTGTCTAAATATCTGCGGCTAAAATTGCAGATACGCGTATTGTAGATATGTATATGTATGTACATGGTTTTCGCGGTAGATATACTGTACCAGCATTTTTCTAGCAAATGGTAAGTATTTGAAAAAAGTGAAAGAGGAAAAAGTTTTAATGTTTTTTATAGCCAACATGATAGTGTACGCCAATTTTTTATTTTTGCAATATTTGTTAGGTGTGATTAGGTGATTAACGGGTAGTTAACGAAGGTGATCTTCAGTTTTTTAAATGAGAACTATATGTTTTTTTATATATTATGAAAGAGATTGTCGTGATGAATTCAACCATATAAGCTACCATGATCTTCAAAGTCAGACATGGTCAGGAATGAAAGAAATAAATTGAATATTTCGTAATGTTATATTTACTAGTATGTTGTATTGATAAGACTATATATCGTGTTCAATGTAACTTCCATTGTCTGTTTCAATGTGTATTTATATTTTCCACGAAACAAACGTATTCCTGATTCTACCTGTGTAGTTTCAATATTCTTCAACGAAACAGTAAGGATCATTCCTTTTGTTACAATTTCGTCAACTATAGCTATGAAACTTAAAGTGTTCAATAATATCCAATCATCATGTATCGTTATTTCATGGAGGAAAAAGGTGATATGTTATGTATTTTTTACAAGTGTCATGAAAATAAGAAGCAAAGTAAATTAATGTACAGAGAAAGATATCCGGCAGCACTGACCTTGTCTGACCTTGACCTTGACCATATGGACCATGATAGTCATATGGTTGAATTTTTCTTGACAGTCTTCTTCATAACACAAATAAACCTATAGCATTCCATTTAAAAAACTGAAAGTTACATTGCAAAAATAAAAAATTGGCTTACGTTATCATGTTGGCTATAAAAAGCATTAAAACTTTTGCCTCTTTCACTTTTTTCAAATACTTATCATTTGCGAAGAAACACTGATATAATATACCGCGAACACCCTGTAGACCTATCACCCCCCCTCCAAATTTCATTGAAATCAGTGAGGGCCACATCTGACGCTCCCCTTGTGGGATGCGCAGGTAACTCTGAAATACAAATTCTTCCAGATTCTGTGACTTTCTCTAAAACGAGATGACTAAATGCGACACCTCTTTGAATTTGTATCAATGAACGGTATCATACCAGAGATAAAAAAAAAACTATTTATTCACCTGCAGAAGAACTATTTATGTCACATACACATATTGTCCTACTCCATATCAAACAACTTTTGTAAGGATATTTTTTGATATTTTCAGTTCCTTATGAAATATTCCAATTAAAACAAAAACCCTGTAGACTTTGTTCCTATTCTCTTGTTTTCCATTTCAACAAGAGACAAAATACAGGCCATGTTCGTCTATAGACTGTCTGCGGACACTACAAAACTCCGCGGACTGTCTGCATTGTCTGTATACGTATAGGGTGATTCCAGCATAAATTAACCAGGTTATAACTCCGTTCCAAGTGAAGTTAGACAAAAATCGTAGAGGAAAATTTTGCACGGTTTATCTGTAAATGTTTCTTTTATGAGAAAAACACAAAAACATTATTTACTTATTGTCAGACTCGAAATATAATACGTATTTATGTATGCACAGAGTGTCTCACCTGATTTTGACATCTTCATTTTCTCGCTATTATTACTCGTAGCGAAAAATGTTTCGGATGAAAGTTGAACGGTGTCGAGGGGGGCATATTCTGGTGTTATTAGTTCTTTCATGAGTGGACGCGTAAAGGTCATATGAAGGTTAACTTTGTTCCTTTAAACGGAATTATGTATTCTTTAATACATCAATCGATGCAGCTCGACATTCTCTATAAGAAAGTATTAACTTATTTATGTCGAAAAGTTAATAGTTTCGAAGATATTTCAATTCAAATAATTCCAAGACACCATTACTCTCTTACTAAGATGTTAGCTTTATTTACAGAAAAGGTTCAACATGACGACTATTAACATCACGGCATTTTTGAATCGATAAAGTAATGATTGTCCTACATTGTTTAATGTATCGGATGATATCTTGCCACATTCAACGATAATACGTTGCTTCATATCAGCCACTGTAGTTGGAGCTTCAGCATAAACTTTTTTCTTGAAATGGCCCCAAAAGAAAAAGTCAAGGGGCGTTCAATCAGGTGATCATGCTATCAAACGATTCGGAAGCTAACATCTTATTGTTAGTAAGAGAGTAATGGTGTCTTGGAATTATTTGAATTGGAATATCTTCTAAACTGTTAACTTTTCGACATAAATAGGTTAATACTTTCTTATAGAGAATGTCGAGCTGCATCGATTGATGTATTAAAGAATACATAATTCCATTTAAAAGAACAAAATTGACCTTCATATGATCTTTACGCATCCACTCATGAAAGAACTGATAACACCAGAATATGTCCCCCTCGACACCATTCAACTTTTATATGAAACATTTTTCGCTATGAGTAATAATAGCGAGAAAATCAAGATGTCAAAATCAGGTGAGGCCCTGTACATAAACTTAATACGTTTACACTTTTAGCTGAACTCCTAATTTTTTACTTATACTTATAAGAGAGTATAAAAATTATTATAATACGGGAACAAGGTTAAATAAGGCACATGTTTATATGAATTTTTTTCATTGTTTTCCTATCCCTCGCCCACAACGGGTAATTGGTATATGTATAATATTTTGACGCCCCTCTCTTACTTCCGGGAAACCCTCGAAAGACGTTGGCGGTTTCCACGAGGCAAAGTCTGCTTCACGCGAGCACGTGACTGGGTCCTTATTTGACCCAGCCCTTAGCGCGTCGTAAGGGTACCAAGTCGTTGGGACTGGACCTTGGCGCATACCTCTCGGTCTGCGGGTCATAAAACAGCGCCAGTCCCAACGCTCGTTCTAAAATACTCTTATACTAGACAGTTTTTCATGCATTCAAGATACTGTTCAGATGAATTTCTGGCATGTAAATTTATTCTCTTTCGACAGTAAAAGTAGGAAAGTGATGGGTGAATTGAGGATTCCTAATGAAGGGAAACAGGAATTGATGATTGGTTGGCTTATTTCTAAATCTCTCCTAGGAATTTGGGGATAGGGAAGGCGTGGAGGTGCGTTAATGGGAGGATTTCCCGTGACTGCAGGCAGGTAGACTGTAATTGGGGTGCGCGACGCTCCATTATACAGAAATTGAAGAAAGAAGTTTATGATAAGGTATCGATGATCACGAAATGGGACTTTTTTAATTAAGTGCTTACCGTCCTGTCGTCAATAGTTTATTGTGTCGCTAAGTGTTAATGCGACTCATTTGCGACAATGCGATTGTTGTATTTTTGTACCGTTTGGTTCGGAAAAAGCAATGATTTTTAATTTAGAAAGATTTTTGAATATGAAGGGCTTTGGCTATCTCAAGAGGTGTGAAGGCATAATGTCTAATGAAGGCCTATTGGAAATTCCGTACGAAACTTTCAATTTCCAAAAATTTTTGAAATAGGTATTATATAACACATTTTATGTAATAATCAATTATTTAACGATGTGAAATCGGTAAATGAAATAATTGTACCCTACACATACAACAATTTAAGGAAGATTAATTTTTATATTTCCCGAAACCTTCACACATATTTAGTTTCTATTCCCTTCTCTTTTAAATTATCAGTATATTTTTATCCAAAGGTGCCATTTTTAATTTTTGATATTATGAAGTATAGAAATAATTGAAACTTAGCAAGGCGCAGTACAGATTGTAAGCAAGCGTTATAAAGGGTAAAATTTCTATTACAATACAGTACAGTAAATCTTTCAATGTAAACAACACAAAACGAGTCCGTTATGACTAATACCGCGTTTGTTCGAAATCAGGAAAACGCAAATCCGTCAGAGTGGGGACCGTGCATAAAAGTTAACGTATCCCACGGTTCGACATCATTCGACGAATGTTCACCACAGACAGTAGTCAGAGTGGGTTTGATTAGATTCGTGAAAGTTGTTCTTTAATCAACCGTAATCATCGATCAACTGTTCCATTCATTTGTCGACGGCCAAAAAATCTCGGAAGATGCTGCGCCTGTGAGTACATTGCAAAATTCAACAGAATTTCTATGTAATTATATACCATTAAGTCCGTGAGGATAAATGTAACGATTGTTATAGTAATGATAGGTACGATAATCAGGAAGTACTGAAATGTGTTTTCTAGTGCCTTGACATGCTAAACGTGTTTCATTAATTTTTTCGTAATAATTAGGTTATGGTGTTTCTGCAATGATTTCTGGCACGATAATGAATTGACGTTTTTCTTCCTTCGTTTATTTTCTGCATTACAGAAAATTATTCGATATTAATTAGGAAATTTGAATTTAACTTAGATTTATTTGACTTTTAAATTTGTTTTAGTATGTCTTAATATGTTTTTAACAATACTTCTCGCATCGACGATAATATCAATGAAAACAACATAAAAATGCCTACATGGGTTAGGTTTAATTTAGGTATCTATAGAAAATGTAAATTTATATAATAACAAAATTTAAAGCAAAATGCTAACACGTTTAAAAATATTTTTTGTTTCTTTTTTGTTTAATAATAAATTACTATACATAAATTATTTGCATTGTTTCTTGATAAGCTATCTAAAACGCCTACTTTTATTACAGAAAACTTTTTATCGACAGTAGATAAGTAATAGATTCTAACCGTACAATCAGTAAATCATGTTCACTTTCTAGGAGCAATTAAACTCTACACCACTTTCTTTCCGATAGTGCATGATTGCTTCCGTGCACGTAATGTATCATTATGTATATCTAAGCATGAATTATTAGTAAGAATTGTACGACTCAATTAAATTAGCGAATGATAACAAACTGTATTTTCGAAGAATTTTTAGTAAATTGCTATTACCTTTTTCATATAGATATATGTGTAACGAATACATGCAAATTTTACTGTAAATTTTTTTAAATGTATATTAAGATATGAACTCGTCACGCAAATATAAAATTTGTACTTATGTTTATAAATCATGCGAATAATGTGTCGGTTAATGGAATGTGCTATGATAAATTTTGTCTCGTATTTGATAATGCCTAATTTTAAACAACTAAACGAATAGATAATAGACAACTAAGTACATCTATCTGCCTCAGTGATGAAATTTGTTAATCATATTTACTTCTGATTAAAGAACAAAGTTTGTAAAATTAATACTATTATATTCCAATCACGTTATAGTACTACGCCATCACTTGTTAGAAGCAGATTATTATCTTATTGCTGTAATTGAACCTTCTGATTACTGTGGGAGTTTTATCCACCTACCTTCTTATTACTGTGGGCAATCATCTTTCATGTATGGTGTCCAATGTAAATTTATTAAAGATTCTCCTCCTTTCTACTATTCTACTTGTAATAATTTCAGGATTCAATTTTGCCAGTACATTCTGTATATTACACTGCGCTAAAAAACGAAATGTGAAACATTGCATAAATTTTATAAAATAGTATTTAATTAGTAAACTTGCTTGTGTTTTCAAAAAGTTTCCGTTTTGCAAACATTTTACTATTAGGAATAATTACTTTCATCTATGAACACAAAATATTCAAAAATTCAGATGACACTTTAATATTTTGTCACTGCCTTTTTGCAGGTAGCTGTGTTTATCCAATAACATAGAATTTCGTTGAAAATTTAAATTGATTTTTCGAAGGGCGATTTCTGTGATTTTTTAAGCCGTAATCCAGTTCTGAGCGTACTATACATAGGGGAGACTGGGGCTAGTAGGGCAGTTTTTCAGTTTTCGATTTTTAATAAATTATGTGAGCGAAATATCATTATAACGGTTATTGTACTTGGTAAGACATATTTGACTACCTGATGAAATTATTAAAATTGACTTATTGTTTTAACAATTAAGGTATGTTAACGTTTTTTCTAACACCTTGCAAGCTGATCAACGAGCCCCATGGCCGGGGTAGGTAGACTTACAGTATGGGGTAGGTTGACTATAGCTCAACAATCGGTTAAGAAAATGTTATTTGCAATTTATTTTAGTGGTAATAAAGTAACATAATGTCAATAAACTTGTTTTATTATAAAAGATTACTTATCCTTCTCTTATATTTTAGTAATAAACTAAAAATTTTTTCCAACAAATTAAACATAAATTATAACATATTTATAAGTTAATCAGTTTTAAACAAAACATGGAAATCGCTATTTCAACATCAAAATTACAAGTTAAACCTTTATAGTAGCAACAAAAACTTAGAGAATTATAGAAACATAAATATAAACATATACCTATAGTTCTTCTGTGACCTAACTTTATAAATAAGTTGTTGACTAACTTTCAGTAACGAAAAGTTAGTATAAACTGATACATTATAATAAAGAATTAGTTGACCAGCTAGTCATGTAACCCCGGACGTTAGTCAACTAGCCCCGAACGATCATTTTGACTTCAATACTCTACATAACCTTAAATTATTTATGTATGAAAAAAAAACTGTTCCAATAGGTCGTCTAATGAACAAACTTTAAAATATTCCTTTAACATTTATGCTATTATAACTACATAGAGCGTGAAAACATAAAATTTTCAAGAAAAGATATTTACTTAGGAGCCAATTTTTCGATAAACGCTGATAAAAGTGAAACAACGTACGGTCACGGCGTCAAAGAAGGATGAATGGCATTGTAGAAGTGACTTGCCTCTACAGTAAATTTTTCCGCGGTATAGCATACGTCGGTGCAATCAACTGTTATCGATGGAGGTAGATGTTCGGAATTACCGACTGTTATCTCTTTTCGGTTCATTAGCATCTTGAGTGCATCGGAGACGAGAGTAAGAAACCTTTTCATATTATTTTCATTTTGGAGATTAGGTAGAGTTATTATTTATTAAACAATATTTCCAAAGGTTGAATTTTTCGATGTAAAATGGCATTTTAACAATTTAAACTGACCACACGCCGAAACGTGTTAGTTTTCGTCAAAAAATCCAAAATGTGCTATTCTTCCTGGCGAAACAATATAATGTATTACTTTTCGCGGAAGAAGACCAAATATGCTAATATTCGTAAAAAACAATGAAATGTGCTTCTTTACGTAGCAAACTGACATGTATTGTTCTTCATAAAATAAATGAAACGTGTTACTTACAATTAGTCATTTTTTCTTACTTTTGTTACTTGATGTGAAGGTCAGTTGTCGGAGTGGCGCGTGAATCGCCTGGCGCTGTGGGTAAAACAGGATAACAGATAGGAATGGTTCGGACGAACCGGTGTATAGTTAACACCGAGAGCCGAAGGTTAGGGTTTTCGTGGATAAACCGGTGAATAGCTAACATCGGAAACCACTTGGTTAAAGGTTTGAGGACCTCGTACGTTGTAATTGTTGATATATCTCGAGCAATAAAGATATATTTATGTGGATTTTCTTTGGCTGTTACTAATACTTACTCAGGATGGGTTGATTGAAATAAACGAATATAACTTAGCAATACTACATTCTGATATAAATAAAAGTTACAAGTTACAATGATTATAAATAATGAATTCATCAATTCTCGATTTAACGAGAATATTCCTTCTCGACTTTACACGATGAGACCGCGGACAAGTCTTAGACAGTATTGTCTTGTTGACAGTTACGTGGAGTATAAAATAATAAAATGCTTAAAAGAGACTGCAAGCTGAATTTGCTTCGTGTCATCGTTTGGACTAGCAGAGTAACGATCTAATTTGAAGGTTAAGGGGAAAAAACAAGGAATGTTACAAAACAGTTTTATTCAGAAAATTAGATTTTAATCATTTTAGTCTACTAGTAGAGAAGTAACATTCAATGAATTTAACCGTACTATTTATAAATAACTAAATAAATCTCTCCATCATTTTGAAAAGCTTATTTTATAGGTTAAAGTTCAAACAATCCAACGGTAGTATTTTTCAAATTGTCTATGGGTGGAAGCAGCATGAAATCAGCTGTTAAAAATTTTACAGCGATTATTGTTATATTTGTTAACAACAATTAAAATTGTATATACATACTCGGAAATAGCATTTCTTTATCTTTAAAATGAGCCAAAATCGAAGCATTACTTTAAAACAAAATCAAAATATTACGGTTAAAGTGATGTCATGCCGGCTGGTTTCGTCTATTTTTTCAAAAGTTTAACATTAAAATTTCGAATACCGCTGAGATAGAAAGCTAAAATTTTACAAATCCTGTGAGTTTGAACAAAATCGGTGATTATTTACCGCGATTCTGCGTGATTTGACGTGGAATAGCTCGTACGTAACACTTTTAGTAGGAGCGGAAGTAATTTAGATGTTCATTACACGTGAAACACCCTGTATATTAATTACCGATTATTTTCTACATTAAGGGAACTTATGTTCAATAGTTGTTATTTTAGTATCTTTTATACACCTACACAATTTTCAGGATGCGATTGGACTGAAATTAATGTTTCAATATGTAAAAGAAAACCAAAATCTATACAGCCAAGACGTTTTGTGCATATTTCATCAGACATAACTTAGAAGTTACATATACAGGGTGTCTGTTTTATCTCAATACAGTGGAATATCTTTTAAGGAAGCGATGTTACGAAACAAAATGTTTTAACAAAAGTTGTTTGGTATGGAGGGGGACGTTATGTGGTGTAAATATTTTTTTTCTTCCTGGTATGATGGGGGAGATTTCATAGTCAGTTTAATTTTTTTTAAATGGAATGCTATATTTTTTTATACATAATATGACAGTGTATGTTATGACGAGTTCAACGAGTACAATAATGGAGGACATGCGGAGACGGTACCCATAGAAAGAAGTTTTCAATTATTCAAAATTGAACATATTGGTAGGTATAAATGCACGTAATTAATTTCTAGTTTTTAACTATGTGCTAGCTTTACTTGATAGTAACTTCTTCAGAGGAAGAGAATTTCTCTAATAGTCGTGTCTGTTTTGGTTCAGTTGCATACAAGGTCAAATAGGCTTAGCGGGCCGACGTGACAGCGAGGAACTTGTGGTGATCCGACTCTCGGTTTTTCGCAATTTTACGACCTTCCATGAAAGGAAATGACTTTGTTGGCAGCTCGTTGAACTCGTCTTAACATACACTATCAAAAAATATAGCATTCCATTTAAAAAAATGAAACTGACTTTGAATAAATATTGTTACCACGTTATGTGGTGTAAATAAATAAATATTTACACCACATAACGTCTCCCTCCGTACCAAACAACTTTTGTTAAAACATTTTTTTCGTAACATCACTTCCTTAAAAGATATTTCACTGTATTGAGATAAAACAGAGACCCTGTATATAATTAGTATTAGTATAATGGATATTTTTTAAAATCAAAAAAATCACAACTTCTGTAAATTCGACAAAAAACCATTTAAGTTTCTAAAGCCTATTTTTACATTTGCCCAAATATTTTGAATGCAGAAAATTACGAAAAAGTAGAAAATAATTACATGAAATTTGCAGACTGCTGGTTGCAGTCTTCGTGACCCTAGCGTGGGCAGTACCGACACCCCAGGATACAAGTGAATCCTCCGAGAACCTGCTGAAGAAGGCTAGAGAATTCTTGGATAGAGTCGACAAGCAGTACGCGGAATGGAACAACAAACAAACGGTTGCTCAGTGGGAGTATGCATCGAATTTGACTTCAAACAATTTAGCAAACAAGCTGAACGTGTCCTCGGAAGCGGCACGCTTCCGCAAGCCCACCTGGGAGGAAGTGAACCAGTTTCCCTGGAGGGATATCAATGATGAAAGCATTAAAAGACAATTTTCGAAACTCAGCGTCCTGGGTTCTGCAGCACTTCCCGAAGATGTAACTATATGTTTGCTATTTTAATTATTGATAAATTTTTTGAATTTCGAAAGCACGGTAATCAAGTTTCGTTACAATGACTTAACGATAATAAGATTACAAAGAAATGATAATATTATATATAGAATATGGAAGATAAGATTTTCAGAAAAAGACAGTTTATTTGACTTGAATGTTTATAAATTGCTTATCATATACTAATTGAATGCTTAACAAAAGCAGCATTTTGGGATATTTATGATTAATCTTACAATAAAAACAAACATTAATTTGCAGAAAAAAATATTTTTGATCTCAACAAATAACTAAAAATTTTTACAAAAATGTTCGTTTAGTAAATTGAACTAATTAATATTTAATTAGTACAATAAATTCTCCACAAGTGTCAGTCCGCAAGGAATCTAAACCTGACACTTGTAGAGTCAG